ATTAACCAGAAAATTTAGTTTTTCTGTCAGATCCAGCTAGCCATATTAAGAAGATGTCTGAGTACACATGGCCTTTAACATTGTTAGCCTGTATCGCTATAGATGCAGATTTACTTTGGCTTATAATAAACTACTCAAATGATCTCATTCTAATTTACCACAGTTCCTATACTAGAGTTTATACTTCCAGTAGCTGAATTAAGCAGAATTATATATTCCTGTCTGTTGATTAAATGTGGTTTTAACCTTACAGTACACTTGTGCAGTTTATGTACTTCTTATCTGACACTGCTGTTGCCTGAGCCCTCAGCCAGACACGTTCATAAGCGTAAGCAAACAAATCTGTTTCCTAGTGAGGGGATGATGTCCTGAAAAGACACTTTTTTCCATTAGTCTGGAACTCAATGAAACAGGCCTCTAGCTGAACTGTAATTTAAACGATTGCTGCCTAAAGCCTGACAGGTCTGTCAATGATTTAAGAGGTACGTCACACAGCGTCCCTTATTACCTGTCACAGAACACAGTTGCTCAGATAAAAATGTTTCAGCTGAGTACCTTCCTTTTTTCCCTGAATGCAATTTCCCCCTCTTTGTATGCAACTTTGAAAAAATACCCCAGCTTCTTTAAATGCTTGATGAATCGACACATCTCTGTCATGCAGATGCCAAGCAGTGTATCCGTTTTGACAGTGATAGACATATCTCAGTTTTCTCTATATTGCTCCCCGTTTCTCTTGCTCCTGCTGAAGGGAATGGATCGCTCCCATCAAGGGCATCTGTCATAATCTGTGGGCCGAAACGACCAGCTGCAGCACCGGAGGAGGTGGCCAGGATATGAAACTATGCTTTTGCAACCATACCAAATGCCAGCCTCTGAGCTTCAACAATAGTCTGTGTGGCTGAGACTGTCACTCTATGAGTATAAACTTGTGGTGTATTTTCAATCAGTTGTCTGCTATAGCTCAGGGCTCAGAGTGTGGTTGGTGGCTGAAACAGACATGAAATGAGGCAGGGACCTCAACATGTAGCTTACATCCTCCACACCGTGAGGGCAGGATCCAGAGACTTCCAGTGCAATCACACAAAATCACAATCACTACTAGAGGAATATTTTATCTCCATTATTAACGTTGATCTCCTGTTTATCATCTTGACCTTGCACCTCGACTCTACATAGATTTGAAAGAGAAGCAGTGCAGCGAACATAGGTTGTGAGATTGGTAAAACAAAGTTGAAAGGGTTGTGTACCAAAATCTGGTGCCAGTCATCGATTCCCACATAGTTGTCCATCTTAGGCCTGGTGTACACTGTAGGATAATCTGTCTGATTTTAGACCTGACTCTGATGGAATACTGAGCATAAACCTGCAACAACCAACAAGATTGAGCTTATGAGCGGATGTTGCGTACTGTTATAGCTGCGACTAAAAACTACAATACATATCCAACTCGCCTTTAGCTTGTGCTGCAAAATATATGAGCCATGCGTATTCCACCCTGTCAGCCATGACTTCATCCATAGTTTTTTGCTGCAAAACAGAAAACACGCTGACAACATCAATCCTCCTCCATGTTTGTTTTTCACTGTGTGAATGGTCACTGTGAAATGGTCTAAAGTTCTGTCTAAATTGTTTAGTGTGCTTAGTGTCTAATCTATCATTATGTCTGTGGACTCCCACGGTTTTAAAATTGGTTAAGATTTAAAAAACCTGCCCCAGGCACCAGGTCTTACAGGCAACATAAACATCCCCACACTTACTTTGGTGGCAACACATTCTCTACGTGGCTCTGGCAGCACGTATCAAAAGCCTACAGTTGGCTTGCTACTTTAAACTCGAGTGGGCATAGCAACGAAATTCCTAAAGATAAACGTACGAGCAGCTAATGTGTGAGCGTCCCTGACCCTGGCGGTGGGGAGACAATTGATTTCAATTTTAGAGCTGGAGTGTTTTCCTGACAAAGTGAGTGCAGATGCCAGGTTTTTGCTCCTGTTTCATTCGTTATCTTTTCACATTCGAGGCAGCTCTTTCTGTCAGTGTAAATTGAGATCCAGGGGCAGTAGTTTAAAATGCTGTAGTTGGTGGAAATTCTCCTCACATGTGTTGGCTGTCATCTGTGCGGTGTGATAAATGCTTGTGTCTTTTAGCAGCAACATATTGTGGTAATTTTTTGTTAAAGCTTTTCTCCCCCCTCCCCCACTGACTGGAAGGTGGCAGGCTGTCGTAAGGGTTTTAATGTGTTGAGGCAGCATGTGACAACTCCATTCTCTATGGACTGTGTTCCTTGCTGGGGCTTAAATCTCTTATTGAATGGAGAATCTTAACCCATTTGATGTCACCAGGAAATTATGTTTAGTCGTTCTAAGAATAAAACGCTTAAGAGTCCGTTCCAGTTTGGTGACAGGCCACAGTTTTCTTTATTATCACCACCATTCCATTTGCTAAGCTATGCTAGTCCCTTTTTACCCACTGTGTGATTTACATTATGCATATTTTAAGAGATACTTTGCTTCTCAGACAAGATGGAGCCTTGTTGACTTTATCATACATTCCCAGAATGAAAACTCGAAATAGCTGACTGAAAATGCTTCTATAAATCAACTCGCTTCAAACTATATTCGTCTGTTCTGCATCCAAACGGCACAATTAGTTGCAGGCTAAAAAAACTTTTCATCACCAACACTCCTTTTGAATTTACAGCCTTTGGTCTCTGCGAGTTATTTATTTTCTACACTTTTTAAAATAAACATGGTCATGCATCAAAAAGCAAGTTAAAAACCATGTGTGATTATTAATCAGTGGTGTTTAAGACAGAATGTTAGGGCTGTGATCTGGTCATGTCCGTCAGTGCACTGCAAACATTTACCTCATCTGGTCTCTAGATGAACAAAGCTTTAGAAGAAATACACGCAATAAGAATTTAAAGAAAGACTGCTGCCAAAGCTGGAGAGAAAACCCATTTGAAAAATAGATGACAAATTCTGCCTGTTAAAGTCCCTCTGGCTGAAATGTTGCAGTAAATATAAAACACTGTCAATTAATCATCAGTGTAAAAGGAGTAAAGTGGGTTTTATTAACAGTCATTATGCTGAGTAGAGTAATTTGATGTTCATATTGTGAATGTCACCTCATGCTATCCTGCGTTGATGAAAAATGACTGAGATGAAGAAAGTTCTATTGAGAAACATTTTGGTTCATGCAGACATGACAGTTCAGGGTGTAAAGCTTTTAACGTCAGTCCACTGTCTATAAGTGATGTCAGTGATAGTCTTTGATGCCGTATTGTTGTATGTTTTGCACTTTTTCATGTTTGTTGTATACATATGTCCTTTTGTTTTGCCAGGTTAAAGGCTCAGTGTGTAGAATTTAGTGGTGAAGAAGCATGGTGCAGCTGAACACCCCTCACCTCAACCTCCCCTTCCAAACATGAAAGAACCTGTGGTAGTCTTCAGTTGTCATAAAAACTCAATGAAAACATTTCCTTTTGGACTAATGTAAAAAACATGGCGGCCTCCGTAGAGACGGCCAGCTCCAGATGTAAATATATATATGTATTTAAATATATAAGACTCATTGTAGGGTAAAGAAAACAACAATTCCTACAATTTTAGGATTCTTTCATATTTAATTTCTGCCAATAGATTCCTTTCATCTAAATCTTACAGACTGCACCTTTAAATGTTTATCTTTCACTCTGTTGTACTCAGATCTGTCCTATGAAAGGAATCTTAAAATCATTAAAGTAACAGACAAAATAAAGGCTATATAGATTCTAAAAGTGTGCATTGTCTGAACTAGTCCACATCTGCTAGAGTACATGTATCCCACCACCTGTTTCAGCCTTAGTCAGCAGCAATGCTCTCAGTTCTGTTTGTCTGTCTCTTGTATTGGATTGATTGTGGACTAATGGAAGATGTTACACACAAGTGAGAGATTTCAGTAGTGGATTTAGGAGGCTGTTGTTAACTGGTTCTGATGGATTTAAAAATTGAATGTGTCAATCTGGGCACTGCTTAGAAGCCTAGGCCAAGTGTCAGTGAAGCCCTGTTTCTATTAGTACTATTTTACCATTCTATTCTCAATACTGCAGCCACCTCCTACTGGTCTATTTCACAGCAAGGTTATGACCAGTGGAAGGTGGAAGTCCTTTTGCTATGAAGCCACAAGTGTTAGTGGCAAAGTCTAACAACTCTACATTACAGCAGCGCTGCTACAGGCCTGCACTAAACTACAGAGCATTATCGATTTGTCACACATGTGCAACAATGAGCAGCGTGACATACTTAAACCAGCAGTTCAGTGTTTCTTCACAAACGATGTGCAGTCTCTAAGCAACTAAATGTGAAATCCTGTGTAGGATTTTGACAACAGCTTCCAAATAAGATAATGGGGAATATTTAATCCTCACCTCCCAACAATTTCTTAAGAAAATCAGTCACCTGGGCTTTTCTCTTTCATTTCCCTGTATCTGGAGCTCTGGTGGAATGCACACTTAACCTATGACCTCTCTTAACACTGTTCCATCTTGTGGAATTTCAATCATCATCAGACTTTTATTACACACTGTCACCACATTAAATTGGACATTCATCAGATCATAACTCAGCATTGCTTTTAGCAAACAAATTTAATGACTTAAATAGAACTATCACTTCTAATAAAGTATTGTATTCCATCAATCGATTTCCTGTCACCTACCTGGGGGCAGGTTAATTGATTAATTATATTACATGCAATTATATCCAGCTGGGAAGTGTTGACATAAATATCAATGTTCATAAATTAATGTATAATTACTCCTTGATTTCCTGCATTCTTTTATTGGTATGACCGTGAAGCAGGTGCAGAGTCAAGAAGGTCTTAGAACGCCTCAAAGTGAAACACTGCTGGAAGCCAGCAATTGCATCGTGATGCTTGAACTCCATTATACATACAATCAAGTCTAGTTATTTTCATTATTATACATGTTGACATTCATTTCTGCTCTTTGTGTCTCTGTCCAGGTTTGGTCTCGGGTCTAGAGATCACGTCTACAGAGGCGACGTCCATAGAGAAGGCCAGTGGTCAGAGTGTGAAGTTGGACTGTCAGTTTACTCTGGCCCCTGAAGACTCTGGACCGCTGGATATTGAATGGAGCTTACTGTCTTCTGACAACCAGAAAGAGGACAAAGTGGTACGTGTAGATATTCCCTACAAACAGTGTTGCTGCAAATTGCAGTTATCTGTTCCCTGACTGGCTTTTATTTAACACAGTAGAGTGACGTCAAGCTTTGTTCTGTTGCTGGTATGATTTCTCCTCTATGAAGCTTTAGAATTTGTTTTATTTTGTCCTGTGGAAGGCTTCATTTGTTCAGTGTGTGTGTTTTGCACTGAGGAGGGTTGGTGTGTTGTACAAGCGGTGAAATACAACACATTTTCCATGATAGCTGTGTATTTTCTCGGGGTGTTGCAGTGTAACATAGGAAGCATACAGTATGTAATACAAATGTAATTTGAGCCTGGTGTGTTTCTGCTGAGCGTTTGTTCTCTGCAGTTCTCTCACAGACACATAGTGGGAGCGATGGGAGCCTGCTTTATCCCTGGCTGTGTCTTTCCTTTCCAGCATGGCCCTCAGCCATGAAAAGGGAAGACTACACAACTCTGCATGGACTCCAAAGGCCCTCGGGCTTCCACAGCCATTGAGACAGATTCTTTGTACAGATCAGTCCAGTGTTGCAGTCCTCCCCCCTTGACTCACTGCTCCGCCTATCTCCCACCTGTCACAAAGCTTTCCCATCCCTCTCCTTCAATTTTTTTTCACCTGTGTCCTGTGGCTTTAGTTTTTGTTATTTTAGCCCAGAATGTTACAAATAGGTCACAGGCTCATCAGTAGATCCGTCACCCACCCAGTGCCTCTCTTTCCACTGACCCAACCAGTTCTGCTCTCACCCAGAAAGGAGTATGCTGCTGACCCTGCTACTGGTCACTGTTTGGAGTTGTGTCTGAATGTAACTGTAAATATGTTATGAAGGAATTAGCATGTGTTATTTTCCTTTTTACCTGCCACTTTGTAGGAATTTGAACAGGCTAGACATCTGTCTCTGAGCGTATTTGTTCTCCTTGACTTATCTAATTTTACTTTCTACATACATACTCACATTCATATAGCCTTAAACCAACATGAAGTCATGCACAGAGTAGGTTCTTTGTAATTAACAGCATATTAATTCCAAGGGGCTGCTTTTAATATATGTGACAGTGTTCAATGGAATTAGGCCGATCTGTATGCACAAAAGCTATACCCGGTCAGACAAGGAGACATGAATGAAGGCTAAACTTTATAGCCAGAGGCTCTCAAATGCTCAGGAACCATGGAAAACATTTGCTCACTGGTTTGAGATAAGAAAATCCAGGGTGTTCTTAAAGGAACAGCTACCATCAGATAAAACTTGAAAGTAGAGAACTGGATCAGTCCGTGTGATCTCATGAACTGGGGAGTCAAAGCTGTACTATGTGGTGTGTCTGGCATGTGCAAGTAACCCTTAATTTAATTCACATTAATAAACCATACAGAGGATTCACAGCCATATTTTTGCATTGATGCAATCTGAAGCAATGCCACATCATTATCCATTCAGTCCGATATCTGGTGGGTAACGATGCCCCCCTTCATTTGGAATATCTCCCATATCATCAGGCTCTTTTAGTGGGTGGTGAAGCATTGCTAATGCATGTTGCTTTGTTGGGCTTGAATGAGAGATGCCAGGCATGCCTATAGTAACAGTCATTTGCATTTGTCCCTCATTCCCTGGCTACAGATTAGCTGAAAGGAGGGTGTGCCCTATGTCTTTACCACAACTGTGAGAACAATTATGAAAACCAAATCTGAACAGTGTGAGAAATATATCAAAATCCCCATGTAATACAAACCGCCTTGAGCACAGCAGCAGCAGAGCTTTTTATTTATTCAAGTTATTGTGGCAGGAATGTGTTTGTTCACAAGGATTTGGATTTAAAGGCATAAAACGATTTGTTAAAAAATAGGAACGTTTGTGTATCACTGAGGATCCTGCATGCTAGTGGCCACGGTTTGTTAGATTCTGTGTAGCCTGAATAATGAAAGCTAATTCCATTTTCAGGTAGTGACTCTGCTTTAACCTTGCAAACAGCTTGGGGGCAGAGTGGTTGCAAAAGTATGTGGCAGCAGTGTTTGGAGTTTCTCGCATTAAAGGGGGGAGCGTAAAGACACAAAGCTCAAGCCTGCAGATTTAGTGTACACAGGTATCACAGCCCTCTGTTTTGCTTCTCAAATGATCTGCACCTCTTCCTCTTCCTCTTGGAGCAACAGCATCACGTGACAATGACCTCATCTTTTCATGTGTCTGATCAAGCTAAGCCTGGCCAGAGGAGATCTTTTACCTCTGCAGCATGATCCGTCCACTGAGAATGGCCCGGCCAGGTGGCGGTTGTATCATTGAGTGACCTGATCTCTAATGAAACGCAGCACACACTATGGTGCTCTTCTGTCCTTTGCGGCCCCTGCCAGCTTGTCTAGTCATTTGCCCTTTTCATTTTCATTCCCTGGGCTCTTTTCTATTTATTTTTTACTTTGGATCGAGATACTCAAGGTTATTGTGAGTTTAAGATTTTTTGCTGCTAGAGGTGTGCATGTGTGTAAACATATGAGGCCACATTTTTGTCTGGTTTAGCTTGAGGCAATTTAATTTCCTCTCCTCCGTGGTCTCATCTCACATATCACTGTTATTACTGCAGATTTTCTGATCCCCAGCGAGGTTGGAGAGATAAGTTTCCCTCCCCTGAGACCCAAGTGGAATGTTAACAGGGTTACCTGTTTATATGGCTAATATGTACAAGATGAACACAGCACTCAATGTGAACACCCTCCTTTACAGCTCCAGAAACTAGTCTTCCAGTTGGAAATTGAGCAACTTGGTGTAGATGCACTAGAACCTCACTGAGTCTTCTTCCCTTTGTTTTGCTCTTCTCCCGCTTCCTTTGAGTGCTCTGCCTCCTCTGATGGGTTCATTATTCTGCCTCTCCTCCTGCCATGTTTAGTTTTTCTTCTCTCCTCCTCTCCACCCAAGGGTATTGCTGTGCGTATGCCTGGTGTTGATCGTGGCATAGAAAAGCCTGTTGATGACTGTCTCCATGGAAATGTGGAAGAGTATGCCAGTGTCTATAAAGAAGAATGAGGGTTTTTTTCAATGTTTGCATTTCTATTTTCCTCCTTGTTCTCTTTTTGTGTCCTTGTGTTTTGTATTTTCCCCATCACTATCACCCCTGCTACTTGTGATGAGACATGTTTGCTTCACCCTCCTATCATTTCTAGGCATTTCCTTGCTGCTTTCAAGACCTAGACTCTGTGTGTGTGTTTTTTTTGGGGGGGGATTTGGACAGAATTAGGGGTTACTGCTCTTTGTTGACACAGCAGGTGCTGATTTGACTCCACAGTGGTGGCTTTGTTTGTTCCACCTTCGTTCTTCCAAAGCATCGAAAGGGCAGAGCAGCACAGGCTGAAGGACATCGCAGAGATAAAAGAGAGGGCGCTTTCTATCTTCCATATATTTGGTTGGTTCAGTGAGCAAGGTCTTTTCTTTCAGCTATTTCAAGGACTTGGTTTTATTTGTTTTATGGAAGGACTTCAATTTCCATAAACCGATCAGTCAGATACAGGACATTATTCTAAGTAGGTTTGAGTTCCTAACTCTTCCCTCCCTTCCCCACCAGGTTATCCTGTACTCAGGCGACAGGTCCTACGATGACTACTATGCACCCATGAAAGGCAGAGTCCACTTCAACTCAGCCGACCCCAAAAACGGCGACGCCTCCATCAACCTGACGGGGCTCAAATCAACAGACTCGGGCACCTACCAGTGTAAGGTGAAGAAGGCTCCCGGTATCCGCAGCAGGAAAATGTTGCTGATCGTCATGGGTGAGTGGAACAGTCAAACAACTGGTATTAGGGTAGCAGTCCTTTTTCCCCCCTCACAGGGAAAATTCTTTCTCTCCACACAGTGGAAATGCATTAGATCACACGCCCTTTGCCCTTCTTGGCGGTTTTGATGTAATCCCCTCTAAAATCGAGTGCATAACCTTCCCAGTGGCTGTAGATCATTGCCCCCTTGATACAATTTTATATTCACCCTAGATGCTCTTTTATCATGTCTGAATTCATAATCCTGATTTTATTTTTTTTTATTGTGGTCATGATTTATTAGTTTTCACTATTATTCTTGATGAACAGAATAGGTTTTTGCTCCTTAATGTTTTCAATTACTGTCAATTCTAAATTAAGTACTCTATAGACAGAAATATTACAGATCACCTTCAAAGCAAACAAATTTCTTATCTTTTCACCAACGTGAACGAAAATCATAAATGGAGTCTATGCAGTCAGATGGCTTCTTATTGCACAGGGTGAAATTGGTGACACATCAGAGTTGTATAAGTCAGATGATTCACTCCCTAGGCAAACACACACTCACAGATTGGCCTTGCTGATCGGTCAACTGACTAAATGATGTCGAAAGTAAATCGCCTCCCGAAACCCGCCTGGTATTTGCATATGGGAAAAACATCCCACATACACCGCACCAGTGTGTGTTGTGGTATAAGCTCCACATTGTGCTGCTATCACAGCCCTGTTATCAGAATACTCTCTCCTTTCTAAAGATAGGACGGGCCTCCGAAAATGGCTGCTGTGCTTGTTTACATGTTATCATGCGTACAAAAGTGACTGCACTGCACCAACTGGTTCAACCAGAAATATATGAGCCATTTGAAAACGAGCAGGTTTCTGTGATGTAGAGTTTTGGCACCACTAACCAGCAACAGAATAAAAGCAATGAATGGCCACAGATAATCATTAACCATAGACTGTAACTACAGCTGAGCCAATAACCACTGACTAAGGCCTAAGGGGAGGCTAGTTTACATAAAAAATTGATCTGATCGGAAGCCACATGAAAAATAAATCACTGCTTAAAGGGATGGATCACTGAAAAACGAAAATTCACTCATTATCTACTCACCACTATGCAGATGGGGGGGTGGGTGAAGTGTTTGAGTCCACAGCACACTTGGGGTAAACAGTGTTCCAATACAATTGAAGTAACTGGGAACCATTTCTTCAAACGTAAAAAACAACAGAAATGCCTCCATACTGCTCCTGTGGTGTCATCCAAGCGTCCTAGTTACTGCAGTTCTTGCAATACTCACGAGTTCTCAAAAGCTGCAGCAGTAACTAGGAGGAGGATATCAGAGGACATTTAGGATTAAAACATGGTGTAAATGAAACTGTTTCAAGTCCAATTTGAATGTCAGGGCTTACGGATGACACCACAGGAGCAGCATAGAGGCATTTTGTGTTGTTTTTTGTGTTATTTCATGTTTAAAAAGTGGTCGCTATTTACTTCAATTGTATTGGAATTGGCTGCATCACTGTTTACCCCTGAAACACCCCCTCATTTTTGGGTGAACTATCCCTTTAAGACATCACTGATGCATTTGCTGTGACTGCTTCAGTGCCACATTCTCCTCTGCTGAGGGACATTAGCAGATTTGCTGATTTGTCTCTGCCTTAAAGAGAAACGGTGTGAGAGCGATGCTTTATGTTAATGATCACAGTAACAATCGAATGATTCGCACGTTCAAATACCAATTATGTGCAATATTGATCTGTTATATTTACATTCCTCTCGTTGATATTGTTGAGGACCCCTTGAGTCTCTCTCCTAAAGTGTATTTTTTTAAACATTTGTATCATATATGATCATGCCAGGCTGGTTAATGCTATTGCAACCTTACTGTTGCTACTTTGTAGTATCGACGTCGGGATGGTAGTGGTTTCTCTTTCTCTACTGTAAGAGCATCAGCTATTGCTGAGTCTCTTTCAGTAGAGAAAGAGAAAGGGCTGGAGGCTACAGGAGCTGACAGGCTGCTAGCTGTTGACCCCAGGGCAGTGGTATTCTGAGCAGAGACACACTGACAAGAAGAGGTGAAGACATCTTGCCTGCTCTGCATTTTACCTGCAGGTTGATCTTGTTACAAGGTGGATGGTCCTCAGAACGGGACGACACACATGCATGTGTGTACACAAACATTCCTCAGTTTTTCAGAGGTTATAGCTGTAGCTTGGCACAAACACTGCAACATGCGGGTGTACACACATGCAGTGTATGTACATGGCGTCCAGGTGCTGGACAAGGCGTAACATCCCATGATGTGTGTCCTCCTCTGGTTACTGCAGGACACTGAAGATAGCTGAAGGAGAGTAGCCTCTTTCAGTACAGCAGTGCTTGTCAGAAGCTCTCACAACTGTTTCTGACGAGACCCTACCTTCACTCTGAACCGTCAGTCACTCAGCTCTGCCTGCTTCAAGTTTAGACAGTCCGCATCACATTCAGGATCTCACTGTAAATTCTTATATCTTATATTTCAGGTTACCGTTCAGCAATCAGTTGTCACTGTTTGAAGTTGTGCGCCTTCTGACTGTAATGAATACCACAATCTAGCACTCCCGGTCTGCTTATCTCTTCCACAAGATAGCCTAATACATTTCCATGCATTGTTCATTTAACAGAGCCAGGTTGACTGCATTACTCTGCCCTCTATCTGTCTGTGCTTCTCCAGCCTCTGTCACCTTCTTCTCTGACCTCATCTTTCAAACAAGTAAATCTGCTCATCGGACAGCCGTGCTAATACGAGGAGCAGTGTGTTACAGCCAAGAGACATTTCGAGTTGACTTTCACCTCTATAAGGTGCATTCAAAATGTCATAGCTCCCTGACATTTACTGTGTGGCACATGGATGTGTGTGTAGATGTAACACACTCAAAGAGCAGACCAGTGAGTTAGGAGTTGCACAGCCTTGGCCCCCATCACACTCCCATCTGTCCATCACCACTTGCTTAATTTTTGCTCTCAGGCTCTCTGTTTCTCCCCCTCCACTCTGACACCATGTGTGTTTTATTAGATTAGCAGAGGCTCAGTACAGTCAGTCTACTGTTTATACTAATGGTTATGCCTGCTAAGCTCCCCCCTCCTGCCTGACACCTATTTCAGATCTGGGGACCCCCACTCCAGACTTTTGTTGTTAGGACTGCACCTATCATTTATTTATTTATTTTATCTATGTATCTAATAATACAGTTTACATTTTTTGATTAAACTAACGGTTATTTTGTATTACTTGATAATATAATAATACATTTATCAAAAATACAAATTTAAAAACTTGTGTCATTTATATTGATCATCTTCTCTTAATACAAACAAATCTGAGAATAAAGAATGCACTGCAAGTCATTATTCCACAACAAACAATAGCCCAGTCTGAACTGCTAATCAGCCTTCTACAGTCCCATTTTTCCGTTAAAGTAAAAGGAACTTATCAATCTACATTAAGCTGTCCAACAACAAAATAAAGGACAACCAAAGTCAAATTCAAGTAACTTAACTGGAGGAATATCAAAACTCTGTGTATATTCAAATTCAAAATCAAAAAATAATATAATAAAAATTACAATTCAAAAGTATTTCAACAATGTGTATTATKTTTCACACTGAACTGGAGGGTACTCTAATAATAAAATAAATGTTGTTTTTTCATTTCAAGTAAAATAAGCGTTTGCATTTAAAAACAAAATAAGGATCTTTTGAAAAATGAATAAATGAATGTAGTAGTTAATATATAGCTACTTTATACGTATAAACCATCTCAACAAATATCGACAGCAAAACAGCTTTAACACTACTCTTCTCTTTGCTCCCACTTTCTCTGTTCAGAGAAGTAAACACTTCCAAAGCTGCGCAGGTTAAAATAGAAACGTTTTGTCAGAATCTAATAACAGGTCTGGATCAGTATAGAACAGCGACTGGGTCCAATCCAGACTGTGGTCTGTCTGTTGGTGACCTATGCTAGATGATGTAGGGCAGTTTTTTTTTCGCTTCAGCTTGCTTCAGGTGAGTCTATGCTTTGCCTGTGCACAGCCACCTTCCTGAGTAAATCAACGTATTTATGTAATCGATGACGTCACCTCAGCCCTATTTCTTGTTATAAAAGCCATTACTGCACTATGGTGTCAGCTCTGTCAGTCACCTTAGATTTTCACAATCTTAAATTGACTGTGTGGAGTCTATCTGCTTTTAATTTGAAGCTCTGTTTGTTTTTGAATCATTGAGTCCTCTGACTAGTGGACTGTTTTGCTTTGCAAACATTTTGCCCAAGACAGAAGGAGCTGTCTCCATCCTTAACTCTTGTCTATTTATGTGTCTGTGTGTCCAACGGCGTACGACTCCCGTCTTCCTTGGTATCGTCCTGAGTGGCAGCCCTCGTAACTACAGCAGCTGGATCAATTACTCTGATTACAGCTCTCATTACACTGATGACTGCTGCTTAGAGCAGGGGAGGAAATACATTTTCCGAATACACAATATACACAGACACACAACATACAAGACTGAAAATAACAGGGTTGTTGACAGGAGGTCTGTGTTGTTGGCTAATGTGACCACCTAGATGTGTGTTTTTTATCTTGCTGAATCACCTCCCTCTACTTCACAGTGAAGCCGTCCAAGCCCAAGTGCTACACCGAAGGCCCCACACAGGAAGGCAAAGACATTACGCTGAGGTGCAAATCTACCGAGGGCACCAACCCCCTGCAATACAGCTGGGAAAAGATCAGTGATGGCAAGCTGCTGCCTGCTGCCTCGGTGCTGGGTAATAGACCTGTTCACAATCACTCCCAAACAAATACAAAACAGTGATGAAGTGCTTCACACACGTCTGCTCTCTGTTTAACACTGTGGTCTCTGTAATGATGTATGCTTTGTCCTCACTACAGACCCTGTGGGAGGTACCATTAATGTGAGGAACGCATCTGCCAGCGCATCAGGCACCTACCGCTGCACTGCCACTAATCGGGTTGGCGCAGAGGAATGTATACTACACCTCAGTGTAACACCTCGTGAGTACTCAACTGACTATATGTGGATGAACCTATAATCAGCCTATTTCATATTTAGAATTCTTGCTCTGCAGACAAATGGTCGGCTGGCTTATGTATTTTCTCTTCTCCAAAAATTATCTGAATTCTACTTTTGGGAAGAAAAAAAGATTAGAGCGGTTCCCCCATACAGATAAATAGTCAGCCATTCTTTCAAGTGTTTGTAGTCATACCTTTTCTATATTCAAGAGTGCAGTTTTTCATTACATGATATAAGAATATGCATTAATACAAAGGCATAACTGTGTACTAATACTGAAAACAAAGAGTCATGCTAACAGCCCAGTGAGGCTGTACTCAAGCACAGCAGTGCTAAATGCAAAAAGTCAGCAGGTATAATATTCACCTCACTGAAACCATATTTCAATTCAACAGATCCACATTTCAATTCAAATCTGCACCAAATTGCACACATCCATAAATATTAGTCCCCCAAAACCTGCCTGATTTTAGTTTCATCAAGATCCATTTATTATTCTCAGAGAAATCAATGGATATGTTTAAGAACGCCCTCGCAATCTTACAGTGAATTCCTACATCCATCCCCTGATCCTAATCCACACCAAAAATTTGGTGTTTTTCCCAGACAGATACCACATCCTTCTAAGGTTTGTGTTAATCTGTCTGGTATGTATCTGTCTCAATATGTAACCTCCTTTGAGGAGGTAAGAAGAAAATGGATAAATGTAAGTATTGTATATATATTTGCCCTGATACAATGTAGATCAAATCAGAGCAGCACCAAAGGATCAGTTCTTGACAGGATGTAAATGTGTTGCCAGCTAATGTTGTTGTTGACATAAAGTAAGGGCTGCCTACCTATTCTTGCAAATTAGTAAATATTTCCCTTTTTTCAGAAACTGATTGGTACATTGTTAGTATTAAAAGTTGTGCTCCCATCATTTATAATGTTATGATATATTTGTGAAGTATTTTACCAATGCAGGAATAGTATATTTATAAGGTGCTTGCATGCATACAGAAAATTCTCAGTTGTTTTCATTATTTACTTATCAAGAAATAGAAGATGTAGATGATTGCAGTAAATATGTGCCAGATTAACAAAGCTAAACATAGAAGATGAATGGACAAACTGAGTGGTTACATCCTAAAAGAGTGTCAGTGCTACCACTACTGAAGTGAAAAAGCTTCTGAAGAGTCCATTGCATTTAAAATTTTGATTAATGGGTCTCATGGATGTGTTTTAATGATTTAGGCTGCATGTCTATTCTTCAGCTTCTTGGCTAGTGGAAGCTCTGGTACCACATGCTGTGACAGCGCTGTCAACCTCAAGCGCTGCAGCATGGGGCAGCTGTAGCTGAGTGCTAGAACATGATGCTGCGATCAACATAACACAGACATTTTTGTGTTGTTGCACTTTTCTTATACAGGTTATTGTTTTGGTTGTCATAGAGTATTGTTTTTGCAGCTCAGGACCACAGATTTGTTGTTTTGCTATAAAGCTACAGTGCTACACTAAATGTACTGCTATATGCAAATCCTGCCCAGACTCTGTGATCCCACCTCTGTTTCAGTCTCAGGGACCAAAAATATAACTTACACTTTAGTGGTTGAACAATTGCTAGAGTGGAATTGGTGACTGTTGCACTTGAGGAATACTTAGCTCCTTCCAGCTTTGATTATATGAGAAGAGGTGCACCGCTAAGAGCACCACTGTTGTTCAGGAAATAACCCAGCACTATAATTTGAAGTCTTTGTTGAAAACAGACAGGTAGTTACAATCGAATCATTGCCACCTTCACCAACCCGTCCAACCTTTTTCTCTCTGTTGTTGTCTAGCCCCCAACACCGCAGGCATCATTGCAGGAGCCATAATTGCTGTACTCCTGATCCTCATCATTATTGCCATCATCCTCTTCTGCTGTTGCCGTGCTCGTAACAGGAAGAAGTACGAGAAGGAGATCTGCAATGAGATAAGGTACACTCACTAAAACATCAATGAGATTTGGCTCACAGATACCCAGAGGAAGAATATTCTGTAATACTGTGTTGACTCTGCCATACAGTATAATGAGAAACAGGTCTCAGGTTGTATAATGCTGGATTAAAGGTAAGCGTAGTAAATGCAAGAGGGTACATGTGACCATTAATCTGAGCACCCAATTTGACCTGTGGTCATCTGAGACACACATGCACACACAGTCCCAACAACCATGAAAATGTTTTTTCTCCATCAGCGGTTTTCCTTTTCTTTTTTTCCCCTCCTCAAATAAACAGCTGTGGTAATCAGTTTGAAAGCTTTGTTTGCTCTGTGTCATGTCTGCTGCTGGCTGCCCCCCCCCACAGCCACCTACCCTAAACACCCCGCTCCCTCGCCATCCAACTCTGCATCCGGCCCACCGGCTCTATACAACCCCTGGGCTTACTATCACTGCGCTGCTGGCTGAATCTGTCTAAAGACCACAATGTGACACTGCTCATGCTGTAGGACAAAGAGGATTAGACCACTGGTCCTGTCTCGTATACACAGACACACATTTGCTGAAACACCACAGCATGAAGCTGCGGACTGAACAAGCTCTGGCCCCCCGGGCTCAGTTTGATTGAGCATTTAACTGGATTATTGCTGCTTATTAGTTGTTAATGTTGTGGCAGAGGGAGAACGGGCATAGCTGTATTCGGTTGCTCAGCTCCATGTCTACAGGCTATAAGTGCGTAAGAGTGGCTGAGCAGCGCAGACAAAGCCCCAACCAATCAAACGAGCCAACTCCAATTAGTTGTCCCCTTTTATTGAGTCAAATCATGTTTCACCTTGATTCATGCAGACTCTTTAAGTATTCATTGTTTTCCTCACTGGGCAGCTAGTGCCAGACATTCCACAGTTTAAAGCTTGCATGCCATCAAACTTCATTATGGTTCATAGCACCTCAGAAAATCATTTTCCATATTTAATATATTTGAGTTGACACTCAGGTAAGCTCATAAGTGAGTTAACTGTCTTCTTTTATTGTCTAAATGTGCTGCTGTCTGTGTTTCATCTCAGAGAGGACGTGCCTCCTCCTAAGAGCCGTGTTTCCACAGCACGCAGCTTCACCGTGGGCAGCCAGCGCTCCTCCCTGGGCTCCATGTCGCCTTCCAACCTGCACGAGTATGCCCTGAAGCCCCAGTACGACAAGATTCCCTCATCAGAAGAGTTCGAGAGGCCACCGAGCCGCGCCCCTCTGCCCCCGCCCACCGGCGCCAAGATGGCCGGCCCCAACCTCAGTCGCATGGGAGCCATCCCTGTCATGATCCCTGCCCAGAACAGGGACGGCTCAATTGTCTAGCATGTCCTCTGCAGATGAAGGGACTGTCTCACAAGGGGAGGGAACAGAGGAAAGTACTAGGACACAAGCCAATGAAGATGGAGCGAGAGCTGGGATGGGCTGACTCACCTGACTTGTAGCTCACATGGGAGTATACTCCTTGTATGAAGACCTGGCTCTGCTGTGGTGCTGAGAAGAGAAATGAAGTTGTACTAGAATCACGACAGAGCACATTTACTTTTTATCAAATATAAATACAAAAAAAAAAAATCTGAAAAATACTCCCTGGGCTTTCTCAAGGAAAAAATAATTAGTGTGGGTACTAAGCAGAATGGTCAATATACAAATTATATTGTACATAAGCGAATGCATGTCTTTTTTTTATATATAGATGGCCCTTTCTGTAGAATTCAGATGCAGGCCCCTAATTGGCCAACTGTATGCATGCATGTATGTGTAAAATTGCAGCAGTATGTGTGCGTGAAAATAAGTTTATGTATGTGAATGGGAGTTAGGGAAATATATAATTCATTTATTTTTTTTAAATGCCTACATAACAGTATGATCATTTGTCAGGTGGCCCAGACTTCACTAGTTTTTAATTCCAGACATTAATGTAAATTGAGATGGACCAACCCTTGGAAAAAAGACCAATTTGAAAAAACTTCACTCATTTGAATTAATCTTCCTGCTGATTTAAAAACAGTCTATGTAGGTCAGCCGTTTCCTCTTGAAGCGTTTGAACAGTTTGAATTGTCCAGTCAGGGTTTAGGTGGGGGGTTACACAGACAAGATTGGCTGGTGGGGAAGAGGGGGGTTCAAGCCACCACATCTTGTGATTGGCTGGATTATTGCTCCTTGACCAAGTTTAAAAAACAATAAAAGACCAGTGTCCAGCCCTCCCCAGAGATCTTAGAGGAGGTGGTGCATATGGAAATAACTGGGGCAGCTGCACAACAAGGTTCACTGAGCAATCTGCTTTGATTGTGTTTGACTGTCAATAGGCCCCTAACCTCAACGATCACCAAAACACAAAAATAGACAGACGCACACACCTTATTAGCAGGACACAAGCACCAGCCTTTTGATTTATCATATGTAGTAGCAGTCACCCCCCTCTGAGGTGCTGCATATGTAATGCTCCTTTTTTATTTTTTTTGCAGTGGTGGTACAAGGAGCCGATATCTTGATTAACCTTCTGCCTGTGGTCAATGTGAAGCCTGTCATTGCTTATGTAGTGCTAATTGGCATTTTAATGAAGGATGTACAGTAAGAAAGTTCCCACAAAGAGGAACAAAAGTGATCAGGTTTAGAAAGCTGAATACTGTTTCTCTGTGTTAGCACTAGTCTCTTCGGTACGGACTCGTTTCATAGTCTGTCAGAGTGTGATAATGTTCATTCAGACAGCCAGTCTAAGTTGCCATAGGCCAGCTTACGGTTAGACCATGCAAGTTGTTTGGCAATGTTCGTTTAGAAGCACAACATCTCATCCTGTCTGCTACTTTACAAAAAAAGCATTAAGAATACCTGGAATGGGCAAACGTTTGTTTTGCTTTGACGCCTTATTATATCCCTTATTTTTGCCTTACACACCTCCCATCAGCTCACCTCTGCACAGCCTCACAGCTGGATTCTAATGACTTCAATTGTGCCTTGTTGTCCCCAGTTGAGTTTGACCGTAGCACGTCAGTGTGCACTGTGTTATGTGCAGTAGCATCATCCCGAATGGACGACGTAGCCCACAGCCACTAGAACAGCATCGATCAGTGAGCCTATTGGGTCCTGTTGCCTCATTCAGGTCAAGTCTAGGATTTCCTCACACCTGCTCAACTCCTGCAAATTCACCCAACAACGTAAAAATACTTGTCAAAAAAGCTTTTATTTTATTTTATATTCCAAACATGACTTCATGTTCCTTTTTTAAACTTTAGTTAAACTTCTGTAATTGATATACTTTTAAAAAAACAAAACATAAATGCTTCTGGCTGTATGTATCAATATCCCGTCGAAGTCCCCCTATCTAATCACAACACAGTGGAATGATATACAGATATGATGTTTGTATGTATATGTGATGCTCTGCCGTGCTGTGCTTGGCAAACCTATACCCAAAACAGAAGAGGAGGGGCTTGTCAGTACAATTTAGATGCTCCCCTGTGTGATTGGGAATTTCTGGCAGCGTGTGTGTGTGAGAGAGAGAGAGAGAGAGCGACAGTGTAGATTTTAGCATCATTGGGGCCGTGACTGTTAAAGAAACAGATTTGGCAGGTTTCATGTTGCACCACTTTTCTGTCACCAAGGAAAGTGAGACCTGGGCCTGCTTACAGTAATAGATTACGTCTCTCGGTTCAATTTTAAACACTACTGTGTGAGTGTGAGTGAGTGAGTAGTACATGAAGGGAGTTTACTGTCAGAATGGGCCCCTGTAGATTTCTAGTGAGACTTCCACCTGCTGACAGGCTGTACAGAGCTCTTAGGGAGGTGACCCTGTTTCTGTCACTCTATGTGCTCAGAGCATTAATGACAACTACTACTAACAATATAAACTTTAGCGTTTAAATTTGCGTACTAATATTGTATGAAGATCTCCCTTGAGGTTTGCACACGGTGTGAAAACCATTCTTTTCTTTGTGTGTTTTTTTTTTGTGCTGTATTTTTGAATAATAAAAGTTCATGAAAAAAAAAAACCATCGGACCATCGTGTTTGTTTGTTTGCAGAAGCAGGAGCAGCCATTGACTTGAGGTTGAATAAAGCTTCATTTCTCCCCTCTGTGGTGGTGCGTGCTCCCCGGGGATGTGGCCTCCTGCAGCTTTTCGACTGTGATTAATTTTAATCAGCCACTGAATTCCACCCCTTACACCAGGTGAGGTGACTTTCTAACCACTTAATGACTGTAATAAATCAATGAAGCAGGCAGGCACAATCACCTCCTGCCACCGCCAATCGTTGCCATTCGGCTCCAGTATAAACATGCAGGGGTTTGTGACCTGGCACGCCTCCCAGCACGGTTAAGCTACCCTCATCATCCTGTAGGCCTGATGTGCTTATCGTTTCCCCCTTTCCACTGTATTGTCCCTGGCAACAAGTCGACGTTTTTCAGCATAATTTTGATTACAGCCAGTTTCCTCATTTACTTAATGTGGTGGGTAATGACTTTTTATTGCAAGCCAGCGCTAATCAAAATGGTACAAACTCTGTTTAATTAACTTTGCTGAATGATGTGAAATGCCTTGTTAATGGTTTAGGGACACATCATGCACGTGTTTGTTGCTTTTTTCCTGTTGTGACCACTGTTGCCCTCCTCACTCTCTACACACTAAGCAACATGCTGGTGATCTTGACATGTGGATAGATCAATAGCTGATTATTAGCCAATAGCTCCGCTGTGTGCAGGCTGCTGACAGCTAGTCAATAAAAAGACTAAAGCACTTAGTAGCAGTGCTAAGCGGACGGCCATTGCTATAATTGGATGTCAGTAATAGATAGGTCCCTGGAGCATTGATCTGTGGCTAGTCGAAGTCACTCATGGATCCTAATGGCTCCCCAGCAGCTCTGCATGTCAGGGCCTCTGTGGGTTTGTTCAGCTGTAGTGATACCAGCGCAATCACAGCCATCCAAATGGATGTGGAGAGATATAATGGCACTTTTATGGCTGTGCATTCAAAACATTCATTAAAAGGACATTAGTGATATGTGCTATTGCACGTGTGCAGATTAGATTTATGGACTAAACGCTGTTCTCTCATTGAATTAATGTACGATGAGTCATACATCATCCTTGTGTCCTCCAGAATATCCATTTGTGATATATTTTTTTATACCTCAGGTCCTCATTAACAGCTGAGGGGAGACAGTGGTGCTGTACTAAGCATGTGGGGATTTGTGCCTTATTCCTCCCACTTCCCCCAGCTCCCTTCCTCCTGCCTGGCTAAGGTATCAATTGTTTGCACAGATCAAGGAGGCTGGTATAGCAAAAAAAAAAAAAAATCTCAGGTTTTCCAGGAGGGTTTCCTTGGCAACCCTATCTGGTTGTACACAGTCTAAGCTGGCTGCTAGCGGGATGATTTATCTTGTAAAGTATGAATTGCTCCCTCCTCACAAAAGAAGCCTCTAAAAGCACGGGTCTCATCAATGTCGCTCTCCTCCAGTCTGACGTCTGCTGTCACACACGTTAAGCTTTTACCGTTTTTAGAAACCTGAGTCAGGTTGGGAGAGGCTGGCAGAGAGAATTCTGGGTAAGACAGTGGAATATGCATATGTATAAAGAGGAGCCCCGTCAGCTCCAATGGCAAATCAGTACATTAACATTTTGGCTCAGTGCTCGTAGCACTTTGGGTGTAAAATGGCGGAGATTATGATGTGAATCTAAGCTTTTACTGCCATGACGGATGAATGACTGAGGAGCTGCAGCCATTTCAGACATGGCCCCTCTTGAGATTTTGGTCTCTGTAGGATTGAGATGGATAGAGAATATATTCAAGTGTACAATCAGGATTCTACTTTGCAGAGTCATTTCCAGATATCTATAAAAAGAAATTTGACGGTGTTACATTTTCCTTGGAGCCTTTTTATGCCTCCATGCCCACGACAGCCCTTTGCCTGAGGCATTATGTTTTTGGGTTGTCCGTCCCACTCTAGTTAATGCAATATCACAGGAACACTGTCAGAGAATTTCAAACACAGTGTCACCTGGACTCGAGGATGAAGTGTTTCGATTTTTGTGATTAAAGGTCACTGTGTTCATAATATAAAAATGAGTCTGCTAATTATAACAAATACAACACAATAGGATGAAATGATGAAGTGATGACTTCAGTTTCATTGTGACATTGAAGAGCAAAATCACTTCTCTGGCTATTAAACAACTCCATTTCAGATTGTCACATTTCTTGCAACTTGACTCGTTGACAGAGAGCTACAACCATGAGACAGTAATTTTAGTTGCTTTATGTTTTCAATCCAGCATCCTTCACTCATACTTAAAAGATCATAATATTAATATCAAACATGGGATTTTGGGTAAGTAGGGTAAGTACATATATGACTGTACCTCGTCAACGCAACTGGTCCATCTAGGACTACTCCTAAATCAAGTCTGACAGTCTGAACTTTAAATGCACAGTCATTGTGCCATGTCAAATGAAAAGGAATTGGAAAAAAAAAAGCTGCAACATCAGTGTGTCACCATGCAAACACTCACGCCACTCAACCGTATGTCGCCCTGAACAACCCGCATGTGACGGCTGGAGACGGCAGATATTCTGTGGAGAGGAAGTTGAGTCCAAACCTCAGCCAATCATCCCACTCTGTCTGCTAGGCCTGCAGACAGCCCAGATTTCTCATGAGGCTTACCCAGCTGCTGTGCACTCATTTGTCAGTCTTCCTCATCCTCCAGTTTGGGAGGAGGAGAGCGGTGGTACACCATCTGACAGCCACCCCCCGCTTCCTTCCACCTTCCAATTCGGTCGATATGGAGTCATCTGTTAAGGGCCGACCTCTAAGCCCGTTGCATCTCAGCATCATCTTAGGTCACTGTTTTGACCCCATGCCGCTCACATTCCGATGACTAATATGTGACTTTTGATGAATGACCTTCCCCTCTGTGCTCCAGGGAGAAGTGGGAAGCAGCGGTGGATGCATGTTGAGATTATACTCAGTCCAACAACATCATGTTATTTCAAGATCCCCGTCTCTCTGGGGGGACTTTGTCTGGTGAGCTTCATGGATCAGTGAGGTGATGCCCATCAGCAGACGTGACATTTTATTCACTGGTGGGAACATTGCGTGTGGCGCTGGCAAAAAATAAATAAAAAAGAGCAACAGCACTTTGCTTCTCATCTCGTGAGACCTCCGCGTGCATGGCAATTAACATCATTGGAGTTGCTCCTCAACCTGCTTCCATATGGTAATGGCTGAAAAATGAAGGGAGACAATATAAGGATGTTTAGAACCAGCCGCCTGCGCTCAGGGGAAGGACACCTGGTTTAATATCCTCTCTCAGTGTCATACTGAAGATTCACTCTTGCACAGCTTCCTGTGAAGCTTTGTCCCAACACTGTGCTTTGTTATCTCTTATCTTCCTCAAGTCAAGCTGTGAGATTGGAACCAGGGGAGCACAGTGGTTTACACCCCCCAGACCTAGATGGGGGTTACAAAGTGCAGCTCAGCTCAGTCGTTTGCAATGTGATTTGTACTTTTAATCTGCACCTCAGCTGGACTCTATTATAGGTGATCAACCTCCAATGCCATGTCATCAGGAGGGCACAATAGAGGCTAGCAATAAAATGTAGCCTTGGTGAGGGAATAGGGCTCAGTTTCCCTTTTTTCTGATTGGGGTCATCTCTGTTATTACCACAGCAATGTCAGTGATGTATTGAGTGTGAGTGCATGCGCCTATCATTGTCTGTTCATGTGTATGTTCATACATTAGTCCTGGGCATGTGTATCCGTGTGCAGTTGCATCAGCCAGGGTGGCCACAGTGAGGGCAGAGGTCAGGGTGATGATTTAACAGGATGGGGCAATCCCCTTCTCCTTCTGCACCAGCGGAGCAAACCCTCCCCACTGCAGGCTATTTCCAGCCAAGCAATTAGACAATGTCTTTTCTCGATGCTGGACACGTACTTCAGGCCACCTTCACAGACTGCAGCCCTCTCTCCGTGCAGCAACTCCAGCCGTCACAGGTGCTAAATGAGACTGAGGCGCTGGAAGGGGTGGAGCACCATTGGGAATGGCTGAGCATTGCCTATAGAAAATGATCAATCTGGATTTGTGTGGGCAGTGTCTTCAGGGAGAAAAGTCTTACAGAAGAGAATATCAGTGTGGTGGGATAAAGAGAGTAAATTAAATAGTGCCAGTTTGCAGTTACAAATATAAAATAGATCCCCACCACCTCACCCACATGTGCCTGTGAGGTATCTGGAATAGTGTTGATGGGGTTTACTGTGAGAGGTACTCTAAATAACAGGAATACCTTGCAATACAATGTAATCCAATACAACTACATCAGAACCCACAGTCCAACAAATGACCATGAGTGTATCTGTAATATTAATACAGACATAAGCTTAACAATTTGCTTATAGGTTCTAAATGAGAGGAGGAACAAAACACAGCTCATTCATGTGGACTGCAATTATCTAATATTGTATATATAAGCCATCAATGTATAATAATAATAACAATAATAGAAATAATAAGAACCTTAATAACCTCAATGGCATAATTCTTACCAAAAAGGTTAGCATGGAGCTTGGCTAGTTCTGTGTATGTAAACACTCATGATGGCACACGTGTTAAGTATGAACTGTCTTTGATTTGCTGCAAATGTTCCTTTAACTTATAACGAACCAAGATGCTAAGCTAACCGTTAGCCTGTGTGACGTCACTGTGAGGTCACGGTGTTGCTCCAGGTGCTTCGGCTGGGCCCCGCTGACACGCACCTGTCCCTGAGGGTGAGGAGCCCCGGGGCCGGCTGTGTTAGCCGCTGTCCTCCGCTCACCGTCCCGGCTCAGCGTCCCACCGTCCCGGCTCACCGCTGCTCAGAGGTCAGTCCTTAGTGCTGCTTGTGCTAACTTTATCTTTCTGTGAATATTTTTACTGTGTTCGTCGCTGGACGAGGTCATAACTGCTGCCTGTTAGCTTCTCCAGCTATGTTGTTAGCTTCTCCGGCTATGTTGTTAGCTCCTCCTACTATATTATGCCATGCTGTTAGCGCCTGCTGCTATGCTAAGCTATTAGCTTCTCCCACTATACTATGTCATGCTTTTAGCTTCTGATGCTATGCTAGGCTCCCTGCTGTCAGTAGTCTAATTGTATCCCCTGTAAATGAAGTGTTTAGCTTGTTTTCTCTCTGACAACATCTCGCATGTTTTGCTCTTGATATTGGTTGAATACATGTTCTCATGATGATGAGATTCATGGGTAAAACTGGTGTTGGGACTTTGTTCACTAGTGATTGCTGTTGTCTTTAGAGGTACTTGTCGACCCACCGTCTGCTTTGTGGATGCAACATGAGTCAGTGGACTGCACATTAGTAGAACAGGGCTTTTTCACAGCAGATAAAAACCATTGATATTATCAATAACATGTATAACGGCTGCGTCCCATTTATTTGACCAAGCTATTTCCAGGTCTGCAGTATTGTGTATGTGTGGCTGGTCCTGTCCCCCCTGGGGCCCTAAGCAAAATGCTGCGAAGGGGCCCTGCTACCTGACCTCTGAGCTTTGTAATCAATTTATATATGACATTCACTGTGGCTTTGCCCAGCTAATCAACATTGTAAATCCAACATTCAATCAATAGTGCCTTTCAATCAATTCTTTTCTATCTTACATTTGTCCAGAGTTGTAACTGAACCTTGAGTGTGGGACTTGATATCATGGTCTTGTTTTGAGATGATGTGACTGAGGAGTGTCATTGTGTCCATATGATATCTGGACTGGCCCCCCCTTCACTGGAGACTTAATGAGTTTCATTTTGTGCATGCACACTTGAACGCATGCAGTTGTGCATTGGGGTTTATCATTTCTGTGCTGCTTAAGCATAATACATAGTTGTATTTCACTTTCTCACTTGTCAGGGCAGCAATCAAAAGACAAATACGGACCAAGAGACGCACTGTCCAGCTCAGTTAGTGAGACAAACGGACTAGAGAGTGTAATGGAAATGTACTCAATAACCACTCTGTTTATGCCGACAGCATACATTTCTATCTAGGGTACAGCTCGATACAATCTTTATGCATATGGCATGTGTACCTACTGTCTAAACATGTTTTACAGAAGTCGCACCTTAAACCTTCCTTGACTTGAACCCAGTTTTGACTTAGCTGCACTCTGTTTTAGGAACCCAGCTTGTATCTTTCTAGTTTCTGTTCGACACATAGGTTTGACACCTGTCAGACACCACAGGGGCATAGGCTGTCTGTTTTACATTATAAAACCCAGTTTCTACCATTGTGTCTTCATCACATGCCTCTCAAGCCTCTGATGGCTGGTTGTGCCGTGATCCTTTCTCGAGAAAGTTTTGCAATAAAGCCCCCGAAGACAACTCGTCTCAGAACCTCGTTTATTTCCAGATTTCCACAAGTGAGATGAACATCAGTCAAACATGACTGGTATTTGCTGACATCAAACTTGGAGAATAAGTTTACTTGATAGTTGTTCACACAATTAACTCATAAGGTGTTTCTTTTCTAACAAGAATGATTGTTCTGCTTCATCAATTCATTGAAATTTGTAAACATATGACACCTGATTTGATGTCAGGGGAGGAGTGGCCCTTGTGTTATATGCAGGGGCCTTATCCAACATGATAAGGGTGCATATAGGGCCACCCGACTCTGATTCAGGTTCTCCTTTTGGCCTCTGGTGAACCCTGAGCAAGTGCATAGTTTGCTGTTGAATGGGCTGTTACCCCTAATAGAGTGCTTCTCTGCCTCAGTCAGAGAGAGTAGTAATTGAGTCCATCCACGCAACATGACGCAGTTAATGTAAGCTGAAGCTCTGAGGTTGTGTTACCATGGTCACAGCTTACCTGACCCCCACATACCAATCCACGCTAATAAAATAAACATGACATTATTTCTCAATCTCGTTTGAGATTATTTGCATTATTGTAAAATTGTATTGATGATTTGTAAAAGTTGTAAAATATTTTCATATATCTTATACATGTGAACACTGTATGTACCTTTAGCTAACATGTTAGCCATTGTAGCTAGTCTGACTAATCAATAATAGAAATATTGAGCCATCCAGTACATTTTCTTTATTTTCATACGTTGACTTTACTTCAACATTATCATACAGTTGATAGTATAGTTGAGGGAGCGTGAGCAATGAATACATCTGCATGTTATTTATTACTTACCATACATGATGTGATGATTTAACGGTCTAGCTTGTTTCTGTAGCCATACCACAGGTGATCTCTGGGCAGGTCACAATTCAAATTTCAGATAGATGGCAGGGTTACAAAGCACTGGCTATTTGTTGGACTATTTCAATGGCCTACACATCATAGATTCCACACAATGGAGGGTGTTTTGTCCTGAATTCAGTGTGTTTTTTGTGGGAAAATCTCTGCTCTGTTTGACTTAGTGGTGTGTGCTTCCAAGGACTGAGATACACACCTTACCTCTAGTGTTTGTGTTTTCTCTCCTGTATTTGTTTTGATCTTGGCAGATCCAGTACACCTCTAATGTCCAATCAGTTGAGTTCACCACATGTGAAACTTAATGCAGTTAAAGGGACATCTTAAAGAAAATGACGAGAAATTAACATGAGCTATATTTCATGTCATAGCAATTTGTCTGAATACTTTTTCACTTTTAATAATAGTTTTTAATAAATTCAGTTTTTGCTCTCATTAGGGGGCGTTGAGTGTAGACGGACAAAGTATTTTTAAGTGTTGGCACAAGGCTGCATGATAACACAATTAGGGAAAATGGAAGGGGTCAGAATACTTCCTTGAATGAACTGTACTACACATTCGCATAATATTGCGTTCCATGTGAGCTGGCAGACTGAAATGTTCGGGTGCAGGAAAAGCAGCTCCTGGAATAATTAAAGTTCATCCGTCTGCACTGCTGGAGCTAAATCTCACAGCTAATGAGGCCCTGCTGCATCAGGTGTATAAAGGTCGTCTGGAGGCACTCTGGTGGAAATTAATGAAAAGACTTTTAGGATTAAGGTGCATTGTTTTCATGGTCTATTAATATTTGGGTCGTCCTGATGAACCTTCAGTATCTTATTTGAGAAGAAAGAATGCATAACAAGTAGCAGCAACTAATGCAACATGTCTGAAGGACAAAGAGATGTAGGAGGAATATTGGTTTTATTGTGATTAAGAGCAGTTGTTCTTTTGCTTTGTTAAATTGCCCTGTAGGGTTGAAAGGTTTGCAAAAGATAACTGCTGTAATTTTGATATATATTGTCATTGTGGGAAGAGGAGTCGTGATTTTAGTTACTGAAATCACTGAAAGACAGAAGATATATTTTTTTGACAGGACAAACATACAAAGTCAAGCAAAGGCGTTATATCTGCATCAAACTACCAACAAAGTAGTGCTAGTAGTTTTTTGCATTTACTTGACCATGCACTGGGTTAGGATTGCGATTCAACTTTGACTATATAGCCACTGATAATAACCACTGATAATACTTTGCTTTAAAACACAAAATACAAGAACTATTTGTCTGTGAACTATATGAAAGGAGGAAAGACCAGTATGTCACAAAGTCTTCCCAAACAGTTTAATCTTCATTAGTCCATATCTCACTAAATTAGGATCTGAGACACATGACATGTCCGTTTCATAGGTTTCTCATGTGACCAGATCTGTGACAGTGCTAAACAAAACTGTGATATGACATGGAATTACACTTTGTACCTTTACGGAAAAAGTTACAGCTTCTCAGATTTGGTTATTGTACTTGGCCTTATTGTGATTTTGATAATATTTTGATTCAATGTTCAGCTCTTCGCTCTTTGTGTTTATCTTTGAAGGTCATTGCTGTGTGAGAACATTCCTGTTATCACTCCTGCCTACTGAAAGGCAGTGCTCGTGTTTTTCTCCCATCGGCTGACAGCATGTTGACGCACAGCTTCTTTAACGTATTTCCAGCTGGTTACTATAGCAAGTGTCATGATATCTACAGGTACCTCAGTTTGCTATCGTTGACTGGGCCCAAGGCTTCAGCCATCCTCTCAATTAGCTCAAACAATACACCTACAGTATGAACAGTGGTGTGGGAGGATCAAAAGAATCTATTAAAGTCATGAAAACAATTTTCTGTTTTTCTGAGGGCGTACAGAACCTGGTGTCAGAATGTTTACGTTGAGTTCAAATCAATAGGAAAGCTAAAGCCTCAGCCACACCAGCTCGTCTTATTCTGACCACTCTGAGCAGACGGTGTGAAATTATATATGATACTTACGTCTTATGCTAATGTCCTTAGGTTCACTGGAGGGCTGGATCCACGGTGCACTAATACACCATTTCATATTTGAGGCTGACTTTTGATCTCTTTGCAGAAATGTAACATAAGCCTCCATCCGCCTCTTGGATGTGTTACCCTCTTTTAAACGATTTAGTTATGATGAGTGAATGAACTCTGTTTGGCCTGAGCATCGAATTAAAACAGTACCAACAACAGTACTGTTAGACCTGTGTTTGTTGGCTTTTACGCAGGAGAATGGAAACGCCAGGGGAATGTTACCTCTGAGAATGGGATGCCTTCCCATTTATAAACAGGAAAGTATTTTTAGTAACGCCCAACCACATTTGTTAGGTTGTGATTAGAACTGTTGTCAGCAGGGAGAAAAGAATATAAGCATTCCTGTCTAATAGCTGTATTTTTCGTGTGAAAAAGGGTGACGCATTAGCCAGAGCCATGCACTGCTACATGAGATTAAGCTGATGGAAGAATTGTACAGAACATACGATTAGGAGGGGATATTGAATATCTGCAGGTTTCACCCAGATAGTTTGATTCCTCTAACAGGATATGATCCTGTCTTCTGCCTAACCCAGAGACAAGTT